GAAGCCTCTTCTCCTTCTCTATAGCTCTCTCCCCTTTCGTTTTCCTCCATCGCCGTGTAATCTCTCTTTCTCTCTTTGGGTCTCCAAAATGGCCACACGCAGCCAGCGTAGCGTCTACTTGGTATAAATACATATGAGAACTGGGTCGCTGCCCTGAACCCCGGCCATCACGCACCGTCTACGATCCTTCTTCCTCGTTAATTCCCTTCCCCGGAAGTGTCGTCTATGAATTCTGAGCGCGCGCATTTTTCCAAGTTTTACTGTTAAAGCTTAGTGACGATTCTGATATTTCATTTAAACTTTTATTAACGCTACGTATTAAAGATATTCAATAGTTTTTTTCCTCGAATAACGAATAACAAAATATAATATCTTATTAATGCTTTCCATTTGAATTCAGTCTCTTCCTACTCCGAATTTCCGGTTTTCGTCGTTCTTCTCTAATCTCAAATCGTAATCCGAATATCGCGTCCACTCGCGAAGTCGCTCTCGAAACATAGATCGGAGTCGCTCCCGAAATACAGATGATCTCCGATCGAGACACTGGTAGCAAGAAAAAAAAAAGAAAAAAAAGAACGTCGTTCGATCGACCGCGCTCGCGTGACGACGAATTAGATAATTCTGGAAGGGAAACCCGCGCCAGGTCTGTCGTGGATTTGTGCGGATGTGCAATCGCGGTTTTACTGGCAGGCCTTCGGAGACCGGCCCCTGTGTGTCTGCCATATGACAATACCATCTGCGGCCCATGCCAGGCGACCAGGGTAGGTACGCCGATGATCCTGCGGGATAGGTGGGCTACGCGCCGCGCCGCGCCGCGCGACGGGGATGCGGGAGCATCTTGCAAGCCTTCGGCTTTACGAGACGGAATCGAAAGGTGTGCCCGGGCACAGAAAAGATGCAGCTGGCAAAATATCGCGTAATCGCCGAAACGCAACGTAACGCCGTTCATCGCGCGCGTGACGTTCGTCCTATGACGAACGATGCGGAGGCGGATTGTTATTGCAATGAATTACTGTATGACGACGAAACGCGCAAATCTAAGCAAATTAAGCTGTATTATCCCACAAAAGATAAAAGGCGGGGAGACATATTAAGAAAATGCGGAGAAACAGAGAGAGAGAGAGAGAGAGAGAGAGAGAGAGAGAGAGAGAGAGAGAGAGAGAGAGAGAGAGACGAACCGCTCGATTATTTGCAACAAGTGTTTGTATGTTTTATTTCCCAACATTAACGAGGATTAATTATTAATTGTTTTATGTTGATTCATTGTGTAAAAAAAATGAGGCGACTCTTTTATTTCGATTAAAAATACTTGTGTATTTTGCAAATAAAATTTTAATGGCAAAAACATTAACTTCGTTATATCTAATCAATTATAGTTCTAAAAAAAAAAATGAGAGAAGATAACATTTGCTTTGTTACCAGCGCAGCAAGATGCATCTCAAAGCAGATGTCGCCTCTAGACAGTGTCTGTCTAAAATTCCTCAAGTAAAAGCTTGGAATCTTTTGTATTTCATTTTAAACAATTTTTGATTGATCCGTCAGTAGATATATTTCAGACTCAACTACGAAAAAATTTATATTTTACTATTATTTATTTACTATTTATTTTACTATTATTATTTTATTTCACAGATTTAATTTTAATAATTTTCGTTATATAATAACAATACTTACACATTATAAATTATTAAATTAATTATTTTATTAATAAACGCACAGGTTTATTAACTTAAAAGAAAAACGCAGCATAGTTAACCTGAAAATGGTGGACGGTGTCTAAACTTTTACTTGGGGAACTTTAGTGTCCACAGGTAAATGTTAGTAACATACAATAGAATGGAGTATATATATTTTAATTAAGCATTCTTTTCGGGAAAAAGGCAGCAAGAAAATAAAATAATTAAAATAATTAATAAAAAAAAAGATTTATTAAAGATCATAAATGAGATATACTAGCAGATTTTTCAAGTATTTGTTTACATTTCTCATTTCGAAAGACTTCGTTTGCTTATTTTTTTAGGCACCATTAATTTATGTTTTAATTATTATTTCCATTAGAGAGAAAAAGAAAATTCTTGGATCTTTAAAAATTATTTCTAAGCGAATTTCTTGTTTCGCTGTATAATATTAATAAATAAAATTCATTCTTAGTTCAGAGATATTTTGCAATTTTAATAGACACAGCGCAGCGTGTCTTCATAATGCGTGCTTTCGCAATTGACAATTGACTTGGCGAATCAATTGTCAAGTGACAATAACATTCTTCAACAATTCACTTTCTTTAAATACGCCACGTGCAGTCATGAAAACACGACACGCGCGACGAGCATTTCTCGATGAGGATTTAAAAAGACGCAATGAGATAAACCGATTCACGATTCCCGCGGATGATCAATACGCTCAAGATCAACGTTATCACTGTTATGTCGTATTATCAAATCAAAACTTCGTTCCAGTTTCCCGAGAGAAAAAATTCCGAAAGGGATTTATCTTTCAATTTTCGAGATAAGACTATGTTCTAATAGATTCGAATACACATAACCTCCTCGAGGAAAATACAGAGCGACGAAGAGGAGCCCGAATCGTACCCCGTCGTCGGGACGTCGGCTACGGATGATCATCGGTGGTCGATCGCTATCGCGGTTGACACATGACAAGCGCGCGCGCGCGCGTGTGTGTGTGCGCGCACGAAGAAGAGGCATTTGAGAGGCGTTCGGGCCGGCGAGCAGCACGCGATCGCTATTGCAAGAGGAAAGCGTTGTGATTCGGGGGACTCACCGCTGTGCCCGGTGTTGCTCGACGATTGGCCCATCGTCGTCGTAGTCAGCCCGGCGGCGGCGGCGGCGGCAGCGGCGACGACGGCGGCGGCGGCGGCGGCTGTGACGGCGACAGACAATTGCGTCGGGTCGTAGGGCGGCGGTGCTCGGGGGCGGACGCGGGTTCACGTGAAAAAGCGGTTGCATGGGCGCGCGTGAAACGAACACATCTTTCGCGACGACGACGAGCGGTGACGGCGACGGCAACGGCGGTGGCGGCGGCAGCAGAGCGGCGGCGAAGCGACGGATCGCCGTTAGCAGTTCAGTAGTCACGGTGCATGGTGCATCCGCTGGCATCCGCGGTGTCGCTACGCGGCGGCGAGGCGACGAGACGAGGCGGACGACCGCAGTCACTCGCACCGTTGCGCCGCCGGCGGTCGTGAACGCCGCGCGAGGTGATTGGCCCGGCGGCGGTGGCGCGCATGCGCGCCAATTAGCGCGCCGCTTTGAACGCGCCGCGTCGCGCCGCGCCGTGCCGCGTCGCACGCGGGCGGCGACACGGCTGACGGCGACCGCGACGGCGGCGCGGCACACGGCGGTGCCGCAGCGCCGAAATTGATTCCCTCATCTCGATGTGATGCAGGTGTGCGCCCCGCGCCAGATGCTGGCCGCGTTTTTCCGCGGACACCCACGCGCACCCTGACTCGAGGATATATACTCATGTCTTATCCTTTGGATTTCGCTACCAATTTGATCGATTTTTAGGGTGGATATTTCCTATGCTCACGAAACTGCGTTGTGAACACCTTTTAATTATGCCCGTAAAATGTCAGATATAATTAAAATGTTTATGATACCAGAGAGAAGCAATAATATATACCAATATATTATATATATATTTTGCAACAATAATATCAGTATCATGTCGTTAAATGCTACTATTATATTATTAAATCAAATTGGAAGTTTGTATTTATAATATATATTTTACAACAGAAAATAAAATATAAATTGGAAAGTCTGTAATTAAATTGTAATAAAAATTTGAATTATATATCAGCCCAATTATATTTGATGTCTAATATAGTTAATAATTTTTAGTATTATTTCGTAAGAATAGAAATATACTTCTACATATAATTGTTAATGAAATCATATCAATCATATCAAGCTTTATTTTTTGATTCCAATATTTAATTTTCTGATCGAATTAAACTTTTAGACGCGCTACGACACTATTTAATTTATTATTAAAGTTATCAAAAATATTTTCTGCAATTTGAGCTTTACAACATTCATTTAGTGAGTCATGTATCCAAGATTAATTAAATAAATATTCGAAAATTACCGTGGCTTATATCGTGTCTTGAGACAATTAAAAGATTATTTGTCAAATGTATACTTGTGACCTCTAGTAGATATTTTTAATTTCAAATGTTTTTGTCACGCAATTCTTATATACGGTAAATATTCGATTTAGTTTTCTAAAGGATAGATTGAACCTCTTCTCTAAAAGAACGATCCCTTGATTGTTTCGAAACAGCGAACTTATTTAGTTGTATTTAAATTAGTCATATAAGCCATTTGATTTTATACAAATCCTAAGAAATTGCCTGCATTCTTCTCATACATTCTACTTTGCTATTGATTTTACGCCTTACCGAAAAATGGAAACATATGAGACACTTATGTGCTCAGCTCCTCCTAGCATCTCGGAGATATCAGGAAGAAGGTACACCGCAGGCAAACCACAAAAGTATAACAAAATAAATAAACGAGGAATCACGTAACTCTCTACTCGGTATTTTTTTTCACATTATCATCCGTCGTAAATCCTATAACTGCACCCACTATTCGCGTGTCCGGGACGTATGTACGTGTCCCAGGGTGGGACCATATTGCGAGGAGCGTTCAGGATGGCGTATAAAGACTCAGGTCGAGCCCGATCTCGCGACGTGTCCTCGCACGGTCGCTGGACGACGACGGACGGGGACTTATTGCCGTCGGTCGGCGACGACGGCGACGGCGGCGGTGCTCGACTATAGAGACTATCCATCGATCACCCTTAAATCTTGGACGAGATCGAGATCGAGGTCTGCATGACCTGGATCGCCTTGGTAACCGGCCGTCAAAACACTGCGTCGACGGAGCGCGTCCGGGAGAGCCGTCCAGCCAGTCCGCCGTCCAGCCAGTCCGCCGTCCACTCGGTGCCCTGTGGATCATTCCAACCCTGCGACAATCGCGACGACGTTGGACGATCGGCGGGAAGCGATTGGAGAACGTCACGAGGGTCCGCGACTGAGATATGATCGTCGGCGCGCGATCCGCTCGGTATCATAATCCGGGATGTAGAAGCTAACGTCGACGTCGAGAGTGCCGATTCCATCGGGAGGCAGCGCCTTCGGATCGCCGAAGCATGAACGTAGGGAATCCCCGAATCGTCTGCCTCGCGCTCACCCTCTTCGCCTTCTTCGAAAGAGGTCGGTAGACGATTGTATAAGTGTCGAGATAATCGCGATCTTGCGGACAGATAGTCGCGGACCTCTCCCAATATCGAGATCCGAAAAGGAAATCGACGGAATTATTTATGAATTTCTCGCGCGAGCAAGATCGATAACCGGATTGCACACATTGCAGCTTTTCGAGGACAAGCCGTTAACGCGCGACGTGTATAGTTCGTGCTGTTTTGTATAAAAATAGCTCGCTTTGCCGCTCGAGCTCCGAGACCGCCTTGTAGATCATCGAGATCTTTCCCTCGATATAAAAATTCCCCGACGATATAAAAAAAAAAAAAATCCTTAGCTCCTTGTCACGCCAGCGAAGTTTGTATCTAGAATAGAATTAACGGAACAAAACGTCCAAGAGCAAAGCGAGAGAGGTTCCAAACGCGAGAGATATACGTTGCCAAGTTTTATTTATTGCACACTTTTTCATTTCGCCTTCACGATCAATCGCGACTTGCCTGATGCTTCACAGGGTGGGCCATCGACTGTTTCAAGTGCGTCTCGATCAATGGCAGCAACAAACCCTGCGATGACCCATTTCACAACAATGATAGCCGCGTCTTCTTAGAGTCGCCCTGCCTGGGGAGTCGGAAAGGCCGGGACGGCCTCTTCCCAGCGACCTCTTGTCTCAAGATTGCCGGCGTATACGGTAAACCAAGTTACCGTGATACAGTTGATACACTATTTTTATTCATTTTTTTTTCATACATCTTTGTTATGTCAACCGTGAGTCTCTCGCGTTAACAAGTACACGTCTAAGCTGTATATCTTTAATCGACTCGATATGGGCTCAGATGAATCCGGTGGGACCCTGATGGTGAGGACCTGCGCGCTGGACAGCGGAACCCTGACAACGGACTCCGAGATCATTAGAATGTCCCACTGCGGTGGTTTCTACTTCGACGAAAAGTAAGACGAGCTTATGTATACATAGTGTCGAGCTGAGAAAACCGAAGGGCGAGATCGGAAAAAGGATGGAAATTTATTATTTTTAAACGAACACCTCCGTAGGTACTTGCGCGGATGTGTGCAATCCTGCAACGACGCGGACGCGTGCAACGCGTCGTCGAGGAATCTCGCGCCGCTGATCGCCCTCGTGTTGCCGATCCTCGCGGGACTCGCGTGATCTCCGTTTTCGCGCGACGCGAGAGTGCAATCGGATGAAAACGAGAATCTGGAGCTGCATTTCCGATATTCATCGTGCAGTGCTGAAAATCTACGTGCGTTAATTCTGTGCACTATAAATTATTTTCAGCACTGACACAGTGAATGTTGGAAATGCGGGCCTGGAAGAGGATGGACGACGACATTGAGAGATTACAACGGCGAGCGCGCTGTAGTGGATATTAACGATGATCTTTCTCATATTAATTAAATCTTACAGTACGATGCATCGAGCAGACCACATATAGTGAATTTATACTGCCAGATTACGATTAATAAGCTATTTATAGTTGTTATTTATAGTTTGTAATATAGGCTCTCTCGTTATTTTCAAGCAGCAATCCACGCGCTTTTTAATTTAGCTATCACCGGCTATATGTGCGATTGATTATAATTAGAGTTTCATATATCAATAAAGCAGCTCTTCAAATTGTTAAACGGACCCTATTGTTTATCCTTTTTCTCGCAGAACGTACGCGGATAATTTCAGACAGCGCAATAAGCTCCGTCGCTTTTTGTTTCGTTCAAATTAACAGATTTATTTCTCTTTCTCTCTCTCTTTCTCTGCTATTTCGGACGAGCGACGCGACTGCCTCAGTTTCGATTTCGTGAAATTTCTATGGCAAAGTGTTAAATTTTAACAGCAATGACTGATCATGAAAAACCGAATAACCAGCGTCTCCGATCAATTCGTAAAGCTCACGTGGCGAGTCGCCTATTGGCTTTGGGAGACCATCGAACTTATCCTGATCATCATATTCGACTGCTTCGTGAGGCTAATGGAACTAATACTCGTGATAATGAAATTAATGTTTCAGGTGACGATCCGTTCGTACAGTAATTATATTTTAAATATATCGCGAATGTTGTAGGTATATCGATTCGAAAAGGTTAAAGAGAAATAAATGTTTTTTTTTTTAATATTAAATTAGAGTCGCACGCGTTTTCTAACCCGCGCATTTCGGGAGAGTCAAAAGGAATTTAATTAGAATTAAAGACGCGTTTTGATTTAAGTAATTAAAAATGTGCAATGAGAAAAATCTAAAAATTATATATTATTTGGATATATTTCCTTATAATATATTTCCTCCTTGAGGAAAATTTCACGGACATACGAGCGACTATTGTCAGGAAAGAATTGAATTTTCAGGTGCTCTGTTTCTTCAGAGATTTATGCATCGACACGATGCAGACGTTCGCCAATGTTTTCCGAGGGATCGTTAATGTCATTAGCAGCATCAGCTGCGATGACGTCGAGGACTTCGCCTCCGCCTGCATTGTCATTGCCTTGTGCACCGGGGCCGTCAAGATGTTCATGAACCTTCTCAAGAGGGTACACACAAAAGTATCCCGCGATAATTATTATTGTCAACAATAGCCGCGGCGATTCGCACCTGATAATCCGGAGGGTTAAGAGTCGCTCGCGAATTAGTAAACAATCGCGCTTATCAGCCTTGAACGTCTACAGAAAAGTATATAAAAAAATTGTCAGGTCTCTATAACTGAGGTACTCGAAATTTTAAACGGTCTCAGTTTTCAGAGAATATAATTCCGTATCCCATTTTATTGCCCAATCGGATCCAAAACGAGACTTTCCTCGCATTTAAAAAATAAATCAATAAAGAAAGAAAAATTCTTTTCCAATATCTTGTTTTTATATATAACGTTTGTCAAAAACTTTTTATAAGATGAAATATCACAAATACGTCCCGTTTTGGCCAATTATAAATCTCCCCGTTGCTATTGTGCGACTGCCTGCAAATGTGGTACCCTGCTTTTTAGAATCGTCAAACAAGGCGAAGTGCAGGTACTTTAAATTGTTCGTGCGCGCGTCTCGCAAGGAATATCGCTGCCGTGTGACGTGGAAGGCTACGGTGCAAAAACCAGGTAAACTACTCTGTAGACTACTCTTGCGACTTGACGTCGATCGCGATCCAGAGATTCGCGCGTGGTCGCATGGTGCATTATCTGGTTTTTGATCCGACAAAACGTCACGTTAAATGTCCCCTTAACGCGGACGTTTAACGGTTCCGTTAATTGTTTATATTATCCGTAAATGTAAAAACTCACCCGACGGCGAAAGTATCTCATCAGGAGAGTCGTTGGGATGTAACGAAAGTCGAATGTTCAATGCTGTGATCATCGTGTATATGAAAAGTGGCACTTCTACCGCGATTTTAAACGTCAAAATTTGTACCGCGACTTCTCACTCTTACATGTCAAAATGACGACCGTTCGATGCGTTGCGTCGACACGTGCGATTGATTTCTCAATGTCATGTCGATACTTCAGAATCCCCACACGAAGCTGTTCGACATGTTTGGGCAACGCGTGACGCAGAGCGGCAATAATAACAATCCGACGGCGAGGAGTCACAGCCAGGATGCTTGTCTTCCCAAGAGAAAGGTGGGCAGAAGGCCAAAGCGACGAAATAACAGGCGATATCGATCTGCGTCATAAAAGAATAACTGATATAATTACATAAGATTTCCTTTTGTGAAGTACAAATGTCCCTATAAGATATTTACATAAACGTTTATTATCTATAACAATGTGTAAAGCGTATATAAAATTTCGTCGTAAAATAGCATATAATTTATGTCGTTATTATGTACATAGTGAAGTATACATGAAAAATTCGCAACACTTTTTTACATGTCGTTTTTGCATTGATATAACAATATTGTCTATTTAAACAAGCATTCTAGAAATTTTTCATGTATATATATATGTATAAGCAAGCATCAATTTGTAAAAGAGAGACGTTGGAATATTCGTGTGTAGAAAAATACACCGCTATTTTTTTTAAATCGCATCTGCTTTCGCACATTGATGAACATTTAAACGCGTTAAAGATGACGTTTATAAATTATAAAACCTTATGCTAGAGAGTCATGGGAAATGTCGTAGGTATAAATAGAAAGATTCGCGACCTACAATGAGGCTTAATAATACTTTCGTTGTCCTATCTTTAATTTAAATATATTTAAACAGTATGAAGAATGCTCTTCATGTGTCGCATCGTTTGATAGTTTTAATCATTGATGATGGTGATGACTAAATTATGTTCCGGCCAAGAAAACGTCTTTGGCAATTGGATCTGTAATAAGATATATTAAGACATATGTACATATATAATTTTTATAATATTATATATATATATATATATATAATATTTGGCACTTTCGGCATTAACGGTAGCATTGAAGATATTTTTAGATCAACGTTCCGAAAAATTACCGACAAGACTTCCTAAACGCATACCGTCGTTTTAATAATCTCAAAGCAATCTCGCATGTTGTTACCTTGTCTGGCGCGTTCAGAACTTGGAATTCCTCGGCCATCTTCTCAGACAGCTCTTCCGAGAGGAGCACCTGCAGCCACGGCCCTTGAACGACGTACGGCTTCTCTTTGGACACAAAAGTGCCCGTAACCGATGGCGCAACTATCGTAACAGCCGAATGAGACAATATGGATTTGAACGTGAAATGCCTCCCATGCATCACGCGGCCCCTGTAATATCAATATTATATTATTCATCGGACGTCGTCGCTGCAGCGTCGCCGCACGAATTCCATTTCTATCATGACTAACTTTATCGCCAACGGCAATAACGAGCCAGCTTCAAGGTTGAATGTTAGGTGCAGTCCGGACAGAGCTCTAATACTATTTTCGTCGGAGACGTTGGCGTCCTGCTGCTCGCACGGCGACAGCCTCTCCGTTTTCACGATCGGTTTCACGTCCTCGTCGTCGTCGGAATCGTCCCTCTTCTCCCTGTATCTCTCCGCGCTTCTGTCGTTCGTTATTTGCACCCACCTACAACAACAACAACAAAAAAACACATAATGCGCTACGGTACCTAAACTCACAATACAATTGATATTTAATCTGTTTCCTCGATTTTGTTGAGGATCAGCTATCATCAACTCACCAACATTTGGCGGACACGCCGCTGGTATTCGACCCGTCTCTTTCGATGCCGCATTGGATCTTCTCTGCTATAGAGGGATCGTCCTCCATGGCGGAGTGCATTCTTCTCATGTCGGTGACTAACCATGGACCGCAGCCCCTCGCGCTTCTAAGCAAATTAACGACACCCAGACCGTTCCAGTGTTGTGCCGCCTGCAGTTCCTCAGAAGTAACGCCGACGATTTGAACAAACGAGACCTTTTCCAACAATAAGGAAACATATGTAACAACGTGCCGAGCTATCCTCGCTATTTAAAGCATAAGCGTCTGTTTCCTTTACTTGATTCGCGATTTAAAACTATAAACGCAATCGACAAGCTACAAATTTTATTTATCTGACGTAAAAATTTTAACGAGTCTGAGAAACTCATCAAACCGTCATATTTCATACGGGCTTGAGTTTTTTGTGCGACATACATCGCCGTGGGGCGTCGAGATTGACGTTGGAAGCTGCGGGTCCTGTCCCATCAAAATCTGGGTGATACAACCGTTTCTGCCGTCCAGCGGAGCGTGCCAAGATACGTGGTCGCCCGGCATCAGCGTGTTCCCGGAATTGAAAACATATTTGGCCAATTGCTGCATCACGTTTGCCGGCCACGTGGGCGGCGTCGTCTCGCCCCTCTCGCGAGCGAGACGGAAGGTCAGCTCGAATCCGAATCCGCTGGAACGGCCTGGGGCAGGCTTCGGATGTAATCGGCCGTCGCCGTGTAAGTCGGACAATCCTAAACTGCATTTAAACAAAACATAGCGTAAAGATTTAAACAAAACATAGCTAAAACGTAAAATAAATATCACTGTACATCACGTTTTCCTTATATCATACTCCTCTTTTCAAAGATAATTTCTAAATAAAAATCGCGTTGTGAATTAAATAGCCGGCGACTCGGGGGAGCATTGAAAAAAAAAAAATATTACTGCAAGAGAGAAAAAGAGTCTCAGCGATATCCCGCGCAAAAAGAGAAAGATACATAGACTTTCCGTCAATGGCAAAGTATAATTAGCCGGCGCAGACGAAAAAGGGGAAGTCCGGCGCTTCTATTTCCGACACCCCGCGCTTTAAACGACTTTGTTCCTCCTGTACCCTACGCGCTCTCTATATATAGAGAAGACGCGGAGCAGTATTAGAACAGCTGTCCTGAAATTGAAGAAGCAAGGGCCGCCGGCGCGGAAGGAGGAAAAAAAAAGGGAAAGAACCCGCACCCTTTGGCGGAAGATCATTCGTCATTCCGCACACAGATTCCAATGAAACATCGGAATGAAAACGGTAGCGTCTACATATCGCGCATCTGCCACAATTAATATTCCCGCTTAAACCTAACGAACATGCGAGTCTTAAATTATATCCCTCATTCGATACAAGCGTATCCCGGATAATATATTAAATCCACATGTGAGGAGATAAAAAAAAAATATGTAAAAATCTTCTTTAAGGCAAATTTAGTCACTTGCTTCTTGAATTTTAAATTAAACTGCAGAAATTACTCCAGGTTTTTAAATTCGACACGAAATACGTCCTGTATAGATCTTAAATTTGACAATGGTATAAACATTCTCTCACCTGATGTAATGCCAGTGCGGAGGTACTCCGAGGTCGGGATATCCCGAATTTGCGTACATGCTGATGTAGTCGAGGGGATCAGGTCCTCCTAACCTAAAGGGAAAATTCAAGTCAGCTGACAGGATATCCGGTTTTACGGGTGTAAAAGGGGAGGCTAAATATAGTCGTTGTAATCGCCTTTTCTCGCGAGGGAGGAACGGGAAAACCCGAGTTTCGATGCCTCGACGAGAAGCGTATCTGGCGCAGTACGATACACAACGATTTCAGGGCATCGACTCGATGAGAAACTTGATATGACGATTCGCAGGAGATCTGGCGCGAGCGTTCCATGCAGACGATAGTCGGAAAACAACATAGAGAGAATTGACGTGCACGAAACGAGAGCAATCAGATGAAATAAAATTGATAAATTAGATACAATTGATAGAATAACTGCTAAAATGAGGGCTTCGAAAGCGCACGAAATTAATTAATCGACTGCCCAGCAAGACACACCAATCGCCGAGTATCGCGGGCCACCTGTCACCCTCGGTGAAACGAACGGTCCCCTGAGACCTGAGAGCACCTCGGCGAGAGCAATCGGCGTCATCGCCGGGTTCTTACCAGTATTTCACGATCGCCGTGACTGTCAGCGGATTGCTCTGGTCCGGGTAGATCTGCTTGCAGAGGCTGTGCAGAGCGTCCAAGCCCGGAGCCCGTGGCGGCGGCGGCAACGGCGGTGGCGGCAGCAGCGGAACCTGGGCCGGCTGGCCCGTCAGGAAACACCTGGAGTACTCGTCGCGCTCGCGCATCCTCGCGCCGTACATAAAACCCTCGATGATGCACGCCCGAGTATACGCGCCTTTGTTTACCCGCAATTGTCACGCACGCGACGGCGACGCACAGTTCGAAACGCACCAGCGGGCGACGGGGCAACAGAACAGCACTGACAAACAAAAGCGTGATTTCGTCTCCTCGTATAGCCTAAGACGACAGATCGGCAGGCGAACGGGGATCTCGAGAGCAACACTTTCTACAGGCGGAGAGAGTTACTAAAACGCGCAGCTGCATGATCTGCATCCACCGTAGCTCCGCTAAAATGTGGTTCGAGTCTCTGCTAAGTTGGGTTCGAATCTTCGCTAAGTGGGGTTTGAGTCTCCGCTAAAGTGGGGTTCGAATGCACGCGCGCTATACGCGTAACGCGTAACCAATCGGAAGCGTTACGCGTTTTCTGTTACACAAAATTTATTTCCATATGTCCCATATCGTACGTAAAAAGATTAGATAACGCACAAATGATAGCCAATCATATACATATATATGTATATATAAATTAATAAGAACTATCATAAAAATAATTGTAATAAATTAATAATCAATATTCTAATATACGTATTTTGTTTTGACACACGTATCTTTATTTTTCTTTTTTTTTTTTAAATTAAAAATTCGAATATGCAGTGGTCTTTTATAGTATGTATATATGTATATGTATATACATACGTTGAATTTTTCGCAATCTTTATTTAAATTAATAGATCCATAAATAATGGATAAAACGGCAATAAAAAATCGTGATAAATGGACAATAAAACGATGACAACTTGACGTAGGTGACAACGTTCGATCGGGGGCGACAATGTCATCATCGTTCTTCGGTTATCCTCCTCGATGGCTCGATGGTCCATTGAGGCTCCATTGCTGGATCACGTCATTAGTTCCACGACCTTTCTAGAAGCTTCCCAGATGCGCCACTAAACTTCTTCGACCGGCGCTACTGCTATTCTCTCATTCCCAGTTTGCAAATCGGAGTATAAACACCAGGTGGTGTCCCGTAATCCCGTTTCCCCCTCCCCCCCCGCCCCCGAGAAGGACGAATAGATCTCGTCGGGCCGAAGGTGCAGAGAGGAGAAAAGGGAAGGAGGCGAAGGAAGGGGAGGGCTGTGAACGTGGACGACGTCAAAGGGGGTCGTTTCCGCGTTGCCACCACCGTGATTGCTCAGGGCACGCGTTCGCGGTGTTCGCATATGCCAGTTCGCAGCAGCAGCAGCAGCAGCAGCAGCTTCGGCGGCCGGCAGCGTGAGCAGCGGATCTGTGCGCGCAAGCGTGACACGGGATTTACAGCATGGCGGAGCGCAGGAAAAACAGGAAGCGCAAAGACGTGAGTATGTACACGCATATGCCGTGGGCGAGAATCGCACGCGGCGGGTCGTGGTACCAGGACGTGGCGCGCCGACGTTCGCGGCCGACCCGAGGCGCCGATTCGCGCGTCGCCGCGCGCGATCCGTGTCGATCTGCGAAACGTGTCAGCATCGATAAGCGCCGCTCCGCGAGTGACGTAGACAGATCCCCCGACCGAGATGCTTCCCACGAGCTTCCCCGCGGTCGGGCGAGCGCGAGGAGGATCGGAAATTTACAGCTCGCATCGTTTCCCCATCTCCACCCCCTCCCCCTTTCCCCCGCTCCTCTTCCGCTTGTGTCAATCCAAATGTCGCGTGTCTTCTCTGCGTTCTTTTAGCCCGTTTCTCGCCTCAGACGAACCGTTTCAACGGATACCGCATTGTCGTTTCTGTAACAGGAAGTAGGCTGCTTGGATCCTAAGGTCGCCCAGGACAAACCGTCCAAGGAGGAATACGCGGTGGCCAAGTGGATCCGCAGTAATGTACCGTCGAAGAAGACCAAGTTCGATAGGACTCACAATGTCGAGTATTTCACTGGGTCGCGCGCGATCGATGCCCTGCTGGAAAATTCACCCTGGAGCACGGTGTTCGAGAGCCGCGAGCAGGTCTCCCAATTCTTGGACCTGATGCTAAGGCACAAGTTCTTTCACAGAGCCAAGAAGGTGGTGATCTCGGAGGAGGAGCTCAACAAAATGCGGGGGATTAAGAAGAAGACTAAGGATACGAAGGAGGAGAAGAAAGCCACGGACAAGGAGGACTCCAAGGAGAGCAAAGAAACGGCTGTGGTGAAGGAGAAGGAAGAGAAGGGCGAGGAGAAAATCGACGAACGGAAGGAGCATAAGAAGAAGCCAAAAGTAAGTGCAAAGGTTCATTCGTGCCGTTAAAATTCTCCTCCATCATCCTTTTTTTTTTTAATATAATAGGAGACGTATTTTGTTTTCAGGTAAGACTAGAAATGCACATGGAACAGTACTTTGTGGATTGTAATGACGCGTATGTGTGGATATACGAGCCGATTCCTGTGTATTATTGGTTCTTCGGTACGCTTGTAGTCTTAGGTGCAATAGGAGTCTGTCTCTTCCCGCTGTGGCCCCTGACCATTCGTCATGGAGTTTACTATCTAAGTGTCGCCGCTGCGGGATTTCTCGTATTTATATTAGCCCTGGCTATCATTAGAATGATCGTATTCTGTCTTCTGTGGGTACCCACGCTGGGTAGATGTCACCTGTGGCTGCTACCTAACCTGACAGCCGACGTTGGCTTCTTCGCGTCCTTCTGGCCATTGTATCAGGTTAGCAGACATCGATTCCGTTCTTTCATCGATCGCAGTGACGAACATTTCAATTTGAAATATGATTTAACAATATCCTTGCAGTACGAATATTACGGCCCCACGTCGGACGGCGATAAGAAGAGCAACAAAAAGAAACGAAGGAAAGAGAAGGATTCCGACTCCGAGGACGCGCCATTAGTTCAGTAAGTCTTGAGATCCGCATTGGATAAGATATGAAATGTAATAATATCTCTCTAATTCTTCATACTTTTGTGCCCTCAGAGAAGAGAAAGAACCTGTAACGACGGAAGCGTCTAACGAGGAGTTATCCTTGCCCAGCGAAGAGAGGAAAACGTCGTCGGATTCGGCCGAGGGGGAGGACGGCAGCGAGGAAGGTTCGGAGAGCGAAAAATCTAACACGAGTCGAGAGTTCGTTATGGTTTAAAACGTGAGAGCAGTAGATAGCTTCATGTTTGTTGGGACAAACAGCTGTATTAATTGTCGCATTAATCATCACCGAAACCGATATATGCTTGCGGTGAGTTAATCCGAAGTGTCGAATTCGACGCACGAATATCTAAGGAACCGACCGTAGCAGATTCTCCACATTTCTTGCATTTAAGAGGTACGATCATGAACGAGTGGGGGGGAAAAAAAAAATCGCTTGTGACTTTTTTTGCATGGAGAGAATTTCCCGTTTAAACTGGCGTGAATGTAATAAAGTACTGTCTCTGAAAAGCATAAGCGTGATATAAGGCACATATTTTATTCTATATATACATATAGATATATAAAACATATGTGTGTAAAATGAAGAAATCGTATTAGGCGTAATTTCGTTATCAGTTTCCGTTGAATAAATTGTGGGTAACAGTTCAAAGTCTTCAATCTCTCTCAATGCGATCAATGTCTACCGACAATGTAGTTAATTAATTACGCACCGAGAGTTCTCTCCGCGTTAGATGTAAATCTTCGAGAAATCTAAGGAGAACTAATTTAGCTGGAAGAGAAGGAATCTTTACGGGTAACAGAACTTGACGTTTTCTTCGTTGTTCGGCGATTTAGCGCGAGTTCCTTTTTTAGCAGAGAAATTAGGCCCGATTTTACAGACGAATATATATTCCGGGTTTAATACAGATAATTTATATTTTTATGCGAAATTTCCAATAATAATTATTGTTATTATTACTATTATTATTATATTATTACTTTTACGATTATCATTATATCAGGATCTGATCTCGAGTCAGGTCTTGTTGGAATCCCGCTCGTGGATTTATCTATATGGAAATAAAAATAAAATAAAGCGTTATATATCTATTAAATCGCAATTGTTTTGACCTGCAATCCCTCGTTAGACCGGGGTCGATTGGTGTGTCATCTTGCGCAGCATCGCGTTGCACATAGCCGCGTAAGGATTCAGAGCGACCAGTTGCGACTTCGCGAAGCTCGAGCCAGCCTTGGCCGCGCGGGTGAAATCCTCCCTGGCCTTGTCATCCTGCTCCATCCAACGGTAAAGGGCGCCGCGTTGACAGAGCGCCTGGATGCCCGCCCTTCCTTTTCCTTCGCTCAGTTCCACCGCCAGATGCAGATCCCTCAATGCATCTGAATGACAATTTGCGCGACAATCGAGAGTTGCAATTCTCTCCTATCTATAAAATTTTTATAGAGATTCAGTTTCGATATCGTGACTAACCGTACCTTCGTCTCGATTCGCCAGACGTAACGCTTGCGCTCTGTCATTTAAGATCGACGGCGATTCAGGTGCCAGTTTCAATGCCTCGTTGAAAAGCCGGAAAGATTCGTCAAAGTTCTTCGCCTCCGCGCAGACTATCGCGTTCTTCACGATGTCTAGTACATCCGGTTCTAAGCGATCTTCCTCAAAGATATCCGTCGTCTCTTCTGATCAAAATATTGAAAAAGATGTTTTATATTACGCATAGCTTTTTATATGAATATATACAGAGAGTTTTGCTTTATAATTGTGAACCCGAAATATTTCAAATGTTTAACACTTCAGAAGAAAATATTTCAAATAAAAAGTTTACAGTTTTATGATCGAAATGTATAATGCATGTAAGATTTTATTCTTTATTAATTTTGACATAAAATGTAAAACGATAGTGGATTGTAACATGTATTTATTTATTTATTTATTTTCTTGAAGCATACATAAACAACATATAATAACAGCATATTTATTCTTTTTCAAGCAGCATTCAAATTTGTATACAGAAATGGATCTTTATTAACATATTTTATTATTTTTGTAATTTTTGACAATCATTTAAATGTAATTTCATGATTCCATCCTCCCAGAATTTTCTAGCTTTTTGAGCGAGGAATCGTTCACGACAGATTTAACAATTTTCCAAAGAGGTGGAGTTAGTCCGTGCCGTTAAAGAAATTCCGTAATAAGCGGTAATCTGAAGATGCGAGGTCAGATGAATATGGCGAAATGGGGTAGAACATCTCGACCGAGCTGTAACAATTTTTACCAGAGCGACATGCGGTCTGGCACTGTCCTTGTGGGGCACGACGTCCTTCTGTTAGCCAATTCTGAACGTTCCTCGTCGATTGCTGCCTTTAGTTTGTCCAATTGGGCGCATTTATTCGAATCGTTTGACTCGATGGAAGAAATTCACGGTATACAAATTTTCATAATATCCACCAGTACTTTCCAGTCTCATCAGACACACAGCATGACCTCCATCGTGGCTAAGCGAATCGCTTTGCTCGTTGCAGAATTTTTTCCGCTCAACTTCCCTTTGTTGCAAACGATCCACTTTTCATCGCTTGTTATCATTCGTTCAAAAAAAATAGATCGCTTTCGTTGCTCTTTAGCAGCAAATCGCAAATGGAGATGCGGTTAGCGATTTTCTTTTTGCGGTTTGTTTCTTTTTTTTTGCGTTGCGTTCTTACCTCTGCGGTAGCCGGTAATAGAAAGGATCAGATGCCGATAATGCACCTTATTTCTCCACCATCTTCAAAATTATATATCAACGAGCGCAATATCAAATTTGATCCAATTCTTTTTAAATGAATGCGTAGAGGATTCAGAATAGTACTTGTCTAAAATGATTGGACAGTAGTCACTGTACCATAACATTATTATATCTATTGGCAGAAACACGAATGTATAAATACGTGTGTACAACCCAATATTTATTTATCTACTTAACTCGTAAAATGTTAATTTTTCTGGATCTTATTTTTATTTTTACAAAATAATGAGCTCATTTTATAATTAATATAAAGAATATATATATATATATGTATATATATATATATTTATATATATATATATATATATAGCTACCTTTAAGAAAAACTATGAAATACGCAATTTTATATTATATCGATTTTTAATTTGTATGCATGATACACCGTTTACACAAGCAATTGGATGGCAATGTGAAATTTTCCGTATAATTTTATTCGCTCTGCAGAGCGTAGCCTTGAGGATACAACAACAAGAAACTTTATCTGTTCTTACATATGCGCGGTTCCTTGCATATTCATGACGATATGAATGTCTCGCGTGAGAATGGCGCGCGCCGGAATATACTTCGCGCCAGACGAATGCGGTTACCCGCGGGCTTTAAGCATCCGCGGATTTTTCGAGCGAACCTGCGGTTTGAATTGTGTCCAACTAGTGCAACAAGTGTCTCGACTATACTACCGTCATTAATTGTAAGATTGAGTGGCAATCTCGGCTTTAAATCGCGCGCGGCGGAGGAGAATTACAAAGGAGATCACCACCCATATTATAATTATCTTCAGATTTTAATTGGAACATTTAAAATTTAACGAATTTCTGGTACGTATTTTTTTATCAATTATAAAACATTATACGAAAAAATAATATTAAATTTACTATTTGTATAAAACTTTTTTAATATCTTATAGCAAAAACACTTATCATAAAGAAGAAATTCATTATTTGAAACGTTCTGAAAGAGATCACAACATGGATTTTAATAATTGCTATATCACGCTGTCGCTAGTCACATACCGACTTCCTGGAAAACCGAGAGACTCGAAAAGTCGGTTGGACCGAGTGGCTGAAACGGATCGAAGATCGTCTTCAAGACAGCCCTGTCACCTTCGCTCAGGCTCTCCATGATGTCGACTAACAATTCCGATATCTCGACACTTCCATCGAGTTCGGGACGGAAACTCGTTTCTGTTTGTCGTCCGTCGTAAGTTAATCGCGTTGCGTCATAGATTAATAGATCCGGAATGTCGTCCGACTGGGCATGTCGTATATACGGATTAGCGGCGGGAGTTTCACTTTAACACACGGATACAAACGTGGGCTCGTAGATTTTCCAAGCCGCCGCTACTCAGCCACTTGGCCGATTACGCAAGTATTAAGCGGCGCGCGAGAACGGATATCAATTCCAACCGATTCCGGCAAGAAGCCGGCATTGAACGTCGATAAATCCTCCGCGCGGGATTTTCAGGAATGCCACTCGCGATGCAACATAGTTAACGTCGTTAACGATCCCCTCGTCGCCGAAGGGACAAAAATCCCGGTCGACTCCTAATCATGATTAATTCATTTGAATTAACATTTGACTTTTAATTAACTTATCCCGGCGACGCCGCGTCCGCGCAACTCGTTACGCCACGCAAAAAATCGTGAGTCGAGCGAAGGCATCGCGGGGTATCATTAATTTCGGGAATCCCTCATAAATTACGCTCGTCGCGAGCAAGACAGATCATCCGGGAAACCGCCGGCTGAACGTTCAATCGCTATATTTCCCGCCTATCGTAACAGTAAACGGTGCGATTTGACGCGCGGCGAGGCAGATTATGCCTCTCTCATTTCGACGGGCGTAACCGCGCGCGAGAGACGACCGGGAAGCCGACTCGCGGAGCCGGTTTTCGACGAAAATCGACTACGGGACTCCAACGCGCGTCCCGTTTGTTCGTCATTAAGCGCGCGCGCGCGCGCGCGCGCGCGCGCGCTCAGCTCGTTTGCCAAGGCTCGAAGCGCGCGATTTTTCGCGATTCCTCGCGTCGCCGCCGACTCCGTCGTTACCGTTACCAGGGGACTGTTAAACGGTCTCGTCGTCCGCGCGCACTTTCCCACGGATAGAGTGGATCGCGAGGAAGCGGGAGGATCACGTCGAAGGTTTTCCCTCATCACGGAAGCTGAATTAGCGCCGGCGAACTCCATGAACGAGAGCCGTTCGTTCCAGGGCGATTCGACTCGAAAATAACTCGCGATCGTGAGATATTGCCTCTCCTCGTTCTCCGCGAGGTCGCGTATGACAATAGACTTGCGGTTCAGAGTTCGGATCGTGTAATTGTCAGTAATCAGCGATCTCTGGCGCTTTGTTAAATCTTGTTAATCTCTACTCGTTATGTTCAACCTATCATGTTATCGGCAAATAGCGCGACATTCCACTTTTCCAGAGATCTGTTTGTAATATATTTTTTCTTTTCTTTTCTTTTTTTTTGCTTTTTTGTTGCTCTGTACACGGAGAGAATTTTTTTTTAAATTTACCCTGCAAATCATGTTAATTATGGGACAATATAGTATTTAGGCAAATTTTACTGTGCACTACAATAAGATTTCGCAGTAAAATTTATTGTAGTGCACAGTAAAATTTACCTAAATACTATATTGTCTCACAATTAACATGATTTTCAGGGTAAATTTTAAAAGGAAATTCTCTCCGTGTATAATTCAATTGTTATGCACCTGCGATTCGGTTCGCTTTAGCCTCTTTACGCATTGTGTCTGTAATTTATGATATAAGAAGTTTGAAAGGGATTTTTGAGAGAATGAACAACATCAGCAAAAAGCGTGATGCGGGAGAGAGCATCGTGGCAAACGCACCTCGAAATAGAAATCAGCGCGATAATCGGGCAGCCTCTCCCTTATTGCGGCCCCTTGGCGAACGTATCGCGATAACCCGACGGACTCGCCGACGCACGGCAGGCCGCGAAAGCGCAGCACGGTTCAGCGCATTACAATACGAGGCTGTGCGCGTCTCGTAATGGAATAAATATTTCATTTCGCGCGCGGCGCGCGGCCGTATCCGCGCTCCGTCCCGCGCGCGTTTTTCCTCCCTCGGGGGCGGCCGGGGCGCAGTGGCGATGCCAGCTCGCTACGCGCGCGCGCGGGGCCGAAGGGCCCCGGTTCCGTCCCGTCACGACGGCGGACTTAACGGCCCATAATTCATCGCCGACGTATAATAAATATCGTTAGCCCGTCGTGAGCGCGCGTAGACACGCGGGGCAGCGAGCTCACCCGTGCGGGTCCCCCTTCTTCCCCCTTCTTTCCACCTATCCTCTCCCCGCCGTCCCTGGAGATTTTATTGTACATGAAAGAAAGGCCCGTACATCGCGCGCGTCAAACATGCCATCGAGTCGTCCTTATCGAATCGATATACGTCGAGCCGTCGAGGACCGTGCGAAGAGCCGAGCCGTCCTGCAACCTCTCGACCGAGCTTGAGAAAATCAAAGATTTTGACTTACGCCGCTCACCCGAGAATCAGGATCCTCTGGATTCACTTCCACAAGGACGAGAGTATAATATCGCTAATAATGCAGCGAATTGGGATAATTACGCGCGTTTAATTGCAGACGCCATTCGTGGCGAGCGCGCAAAAGGCACGCGTTTTTCGGTTCGGCGGACGGCGTCGGATTTATGGAGCATCGCGCTACATGCATTTATGCGCGATATTTATGGTTATAAGAAGACCGGCCCTCTTTCGTGTCTGCGCGCGCGATACACGCCTTCCTCTCGTCGACTTCCCCGGATGCGGGCTCCGCCGCGCTGGAGCTTTCGGCCTTGGCCGGCCTAATAAAAGTCCCTTGAATAATGCGCGCCGCGCTCTCCGTGCGTCCGACGCCGGACATAAAGCGCGGTTAAAACCAATATTGCAATACATCATCGGCTAATTAATATTTTAACAATAAGTAAAGCGCAACGTACATTTAGGTACTTATTAATGTTTAGTGCGTGTGTATGAGTGAATTTAAGAACTCACCTCTTCAACGTACACCAATCATCCAATCAATAATAATTCCGCAGACGCTGTGCTTGAGATCTTGTTAGAGTAATATTAAACTATCGTATGCATACTCACGGCAGACGTACGTGAACAAAAAAGAAAATGAAGTCGCAAGTCAAAAGTTCTTTTAACATTAAGCCTTTAAAAATAAATAAAAACAACAAAGTATAACAACGGAATAATAAAACTGCAAGTATTTGATTGAAAGCGATAATGAGATAAGTATAAAAATGACTAGATTTTTTTTTAGATAACGAGGATCTCCTGCTAATAATGAGACGAAACAATAATTTTAGGATTTGTTATTTTATACATTCTTCTATTTGCACGCATTAGATATTAATTTGTCCCTAAATATATGTATATCTTTTAATGTAATCTGCACTTTTTATTTATCGTTAGTAATTATTCAACAATATATTACTGCAATGTTAGTTTTTAAAATTTTCTTTTCCTTTGCTTGTATACGAGGGATGTAAAATCGTTCAATTGCGTTGCTTTATTTTCAATAAAAATTACACTTGGACAGTATAGCCGTGTGTACGAGCTGCGTCTCATGTTGAGATACACATCACGGTCGAGATTAATACGACAAAATTATAATGATTATTCTTATCTTAAACTCTTGTAGAATGCATATTGCTCTTTTACGGAAGCGCGCGATTTTTTTCTCCCTCGATCTACGCATTTGACAATATCAATTAACGGCTGTTACACGGCTCGCGAAGGGGGCACGAGATTGGACGGTGCCGAACGAGGGTGAATATTTTTCTCCATTTAATTACGCATAATGCGTTCACTTGTTTATTTTCACACGCATGCGAGGTTAATCTTACTCGGCGAAAAAATTCCGCCCAAGGGCGATCCGGCCGCGAATAACCGTTTCGGAATTTTACGAGATCGTTACGCGGCGCAGCTGCATCCTGCGTGTCGTCTATACGCGTATACGCTTGCGATCTTCTTCGTCGGTGCGAGGAGCATCGTCGGGCCGATGGAATTTCAAATGAGGGTGCGGTCGCGCGTACGAAATCGTCCGAATGAATTTTCGTGTTCGCGCTCGCATGATCGGCGCGCCGCGCCGATCCGAGAGGACCGCCCGAGTCGTGGACATCGTGCGAGGGTATTAAAATCACCGCCGAACAGAGAGAGACGAAGGATCAGGAAAAAGAGAAAAAAAAGAGAGAGAAAGGAGAGAGAGAGAAAGGAAGAGAGAAGGCGACGAGCAGGCCCAAATAAGACCGCCAAAAAGCTCTGAATCCAACACGGCCAACCGTCGCGGTCGATTTGCGGTTACCGCGCGGATACGCAACAGGAAAAAAGGAGGGATCTACTTCTCTCTCTCTCTCTTTTTCTACCTGTCTCTCTTATCCTCTCTTCGCCCATTCGCTCCTTCCCGCATCCTTAGCATTATCGTTCCCTTCCGATCCCGCGAAAGGGTCTTGTAACAGTAAGCGAGGGAGAGCGCGTAGACAGTCGGATTTATATTCAAATGAATCGCGATGGAAGCGCGCGATTTATCGATGCCCCCATCAAACCCCGTAGCGCACGTGCGGGTTGCGCAGGTCGGGGGAGAAGAAGGAAAATCAAAGGGTTAAGTTACGAGAGAGGAAGGACGCGCGCGCGCGCGCCTAAGGAGTCAGATCCTTTCCTCGCGTTCGCTCAACGCTCATCGGTTACCGCTCGGGGGGGAGGCTATACGATCTCGCGGCCGAAGTCGAAGACGGGTAAAACAAGCCTCTCTTCCTCGGAATCACGAACTTTTTTTCTCTCTATCATTATGTTTCGTAATTATATATATATACGTTGAATTAACGGCACGTCACCGGGACGCTTCCTTCAGGACGCTACCGCATTCTTCATCCGCGCGCGGCAAATGTTTCCGCAATAACGCGAGCGTCGCTGCAGAGCCTCGGGACCGTCTTAGACGACGGTAACGCGACAAAAATCCGCGAGCGAAGTTTTTCGAGAGCGCAATTAACGACGCGACGGTGTCCTACCCTTGCTTGCGTCCTGTGTGTGCGCGCGTGTGCGTGCATGCCTTTATTTAGCTGTAGTTGGTCGAAACCGGTTGCAAGCTATTCCACTTCACTCTCCGATTCGGGAGAGAGCGAGAAAGAGAGAGAGAGAGAGGCGGGGGGAGGAAGGAGGGAGA